ACAATGTAAAATATAATGTCAAATTAATCAGCAACTTATTTAAATATTGATCAATCAATTTTCAGTAAAATATCAAAAATGTACCTGCTTCATTTAAAACCTTCTGATTGCATTCAACATTATGTGTTTGATGCTACAATTTATTTACTAATGTCAATTTCAGTAAAATATTTGAGCAACAGAGAATTTATTTATTGCAACAATGGATGATTTTAATTAGAGATTTATAAAGAAAGTCTATAAAAGAAAAACATTGATCACACTCGAACCCAAGGTCTCATTTTGTCTTACCAACACTAAAAAAAACCTCAAAGATATTCAGTTGAATATATTATCCTGTAAATTCATTGGACAATCAATTATTTGATATTTTAGCTTGAAAACTGACTTGAGCATTTAATTGTTTATTGATAGAGTTGCAAATGGATTTTTTATCTAATCACTGCAGCTGTAGACTGAATACAAATGTTTGCAAAAGATAAGAGTGACACAAATGTTTATCAGTGGTGAAAATAGAACAAACAAGATTTTCCACAGCTCAGTGACTGACTAATAATACAGTTTATTGTGTATGTGTGTGTACCTGAAGATGTCTTGTGTGTCCAGATCGATGTGCAGCCCATTGATGAACAGAGCTGAATCCCCAGGCTGCAGGCCCAGAGTCCCTTTGAAAAACTTTGGAGACATCAACATGACTGAATATCCCGTTTACATCAAACCCTACAACTCTCCATTTAACTGAGAAAACCGTCACAATGTGTGGCACTTCACGTCAAAACTGACCATTGTGTCGTCAATTACGTTGTAAAACTTGAGGCAATATTCAGTAAAAAGCTGTGTTGAGTTAAGTCGACATCTCCAGACAAGCACTGACAGCTCTGTCTAAAGCAAGTCTGTTTAGAGCAATCAAACCGCACACTAAACACATCTAATTATTAGAGAAAGCGTGTGTGAACGTGTGTGTGTGTTTGTGTTCACGGCTGTGAGAGGATGCGTGTGTTTGTGTGTCGGCAGAGGCAAAAGAAAAGCTGAAAGTCGTTCTGGCGCAGTCAAATCTCATTACAGAAAGACAAAGACATCAGATTAATCATACTCCAGACGCTGCAATTACAACAAGACATGATTAACACAAATATTGTTCATCCCACTTAAACAGCGTGAGGATGTGAGTGTGTGTTTGTGTGTGTGTGTGGGAAACAGAGGGAAATGTCTGCGTGCAAGTGCATGTGTCCAAACTACTTCAATCAATAATCCTTCCTCGCTGCAGGACTCAGTGCGCCTGCTGAATGAATCACCGATTCAGTAATTAGGACGTTTGCTGCTCACCCCCACCACCCACCCAAACTCCTGTCTGCACACCAAGATAATGTGAGCACAGCTTGAGGAGAAAGAGGGGAGGCAGGAGAGAGAGAGAGGGAGTGAAAAAACATTTGTGAAGAAAAAGGGGTGATTACCTATTCCATTAGCAGGGCAAACCCAAACACATTGTCAGAAACTAAATGCTTTTCAAATCCGACGTTGTTTACGATTTATCACGTAATAAAAAGGTGAGAGGAGAAAAACAAAAACAGGAAGGGCAGTTCTCATTTTGAGATATTTCCCCGAAGACGAACGATGAGGGGCCGAGGGAATGTGGTTGTGGCTGTATGCAATAATGCTATCTGTTTTTCTTTATTTTTCTACCTTATTGGATCAGATAGGTAAACAGCTAAACCTAAATTATCCCTGACAACTCAACAACACAGCAGGAAGGAAAGAACATTGGCACGCTGCAGAGGGAAAAGAGAGCAGAATGAGAGCGGATGAAGAAGCCAAGCAGCTGGGATAAAAGGAACAACACGAATATTTAAATAAACATAAAAACACTCAGTTTTTGGAAAAGATCTCCAACATTTGCACTCAAGCTCAATATTTCATTTTTTGTGAACAAAACAAAAGCAACAAGACAATAACATGGCGTCCTGGAGATTTGATGGGATTAACACACTACAATCCTCTCTCTCTCTCTCTCCTTAATTTTCAGCTCTCTACCATCATTATCGAATAAAAGAAGAAAATTCTCACAAAAAACTCTCAAATTAGAAAACATGACAGCAATAAAAAAAAACAATGGTTCTCAAAAGTTACAACAAACAGCAATCATTAAAAAAAACCCATTAAAAATTAACCGCAAAAACAATTCAGCAAAAACAAGACGAAAATAAGAATATGTATTAGAGCCCGACCAATTTATCAGTTGGTCGAGAAGAATTGGCCAATATGAGCATTTTAGCACAGCATGTTTGCAGATAGGAAAAAATATGCATTCATGTTTCCATTTCACGTAAAAATATATCATAGTTTATTTTCTTAACCAAGTTTCATAGATGTGTTTTCTTTGTTTTGTATTCATAATAAAGCTTTTGGAAAGTATTTATATTTCGACTGATATATTGATATTGTACATTTTTTACTCAGAATCACGCAGAATAAGAAAAGTGTGTTTGTGTTTGACAAAAGGGTGAAAGCAGGGATACAGAGGATGAAGATGTGAGCGATGAATGGAAGGACAAACACGTACCTTCTGATTCTCGCCAATCTCTTTACGGATCTCGGAGTTGACCACTGTTTTAGTGATGGACCTATGAGGGGAAAAACTGAATTCAAAAACTGCAGAGTAATAAAAATCTGTGTAAACACAAAACATCTGACAGTATCTACTTTTTGTGAGTTCCTCTTCTTTACCTGGCTTTGGTTGGGAAGTTCTGACTGAGGTCTTTCATAACACTGAGGGCCTCAACAGCAGGAGCAGCAAGAATACGAGCGGCTGTCTGGAAACTAAGATCTGTTGATGACGGGAGGGAGACAAAGATTAAAAAAAGTGTGTTAATGTGCTAGCATGTGCCAAAGTACAAATTACAGCTAAAGCGTATATGTGGGCATAAGCTGTTTTAGACCTAAACTTAATTTTGGGTCAAATTAAAACTTTGACCAGATGAGAAGATTTGACAGCAATTTGTCTGATAGTTCAGACGTTTCAGAAAAATCACATAAGTGAATCTGCTGGTGGCACTTGACAGGAAAAGGTCAAGAGATCACCACAGTCATTAGGATTCGATGCACAGAATTTCATGGCAAGCCACCTGATGAGAAATTTCATGCTGGATAGTCTCCATCGACCGACACACAGACATCATCATCCCAAGAGCAGCGCTGCTAGCAGGGTCAAAAAAGTAATCAGTTAAGCCAATTGATGTATTAATTAGGAAATAATTTCACGTTAACATGCTTGTCTTCACATCTAAAGAATTAATTAAATCTATCTTAAAGCATTGAAGCGTTGAAGACAGGATTAAGAATATAGACTAGAATGTTATATATGACTTTATATGTGATAACATTGTATAGAAGATATTGTATGGGAGCTTTTCCTTGCAAGGAAGGGGCGAGAGGAGTGTGGATCATTTCAATGCAGAGAGCATCTTTGTAATGGTGTTGTAGCCTGTGTGATTATTGGCCCCTGGAGGTCTCCCTGTCTTTATAAACAGACTGAGATAATGAGCCCCAGTGGGGTAGAAGATAAAGACAGACGCCCACATGACAGTCTGAAAGTCTTAGCCCCAATCTCTCATCCCCTCACATCCTTTATTTAACACAATCAAAGCCGCCTCATGCTTGCGTCCTGACCGCATCTAGTGAAAAGAAATAAGTCTCTGTGTGCGTTTTTTACAAAAACACATATAATCTGAGCCTGAGCAGCTGACCGATCGGTGAGCTCATGTGTGTGCACGTCTCTTGTTCACAGTGATTTCAATACATCCTGAAACAATCAGGACCATTTATCAAAAACGGGGAAGATTTAACAGATTTGACAGAGCAGTGCAGCTGGAAGACGGCTGCCGCTCATTTGGAGACATCTGCTGAATCCACTATTGCCACAGTACTAAGTGAAGTGTACAGAGAAGAACAGATGATGGAACTTAGAAGGTTGTAGGTCTCTCCCATTGTGTCCAGAGGCATTCTGGTCTGGGGCCCTTGATAACCCCACTCGGAAATCAAAAATGATCGCAGAGGTGAAAGAGCCAACACATATAACATCAAGTGGCTCAAGGAAAGTGTGACGCAGGCAAAACAGACAGATTTCAAAAAGTGAATACAAATGAGTCAGTGATTCATCAGATGATGTAACTCTAATCAATAACGCTTTTATGTTGCAGCAGAGACTGCTCTGACATTATGACTCGTGTGTTAAGACGACACTGATCGATTGCAGTCATTGATTGCAGAACTAGACATAAAATAATTTCACTGATGGAATGATCTCACTGAATATTTAAGCCTGCATGCAGCGCAGGTGTAACGCTGAATGCACTTCTAGTTTCCTTTTATTTTCCATCATCAATGGATAGGGAAAATAAAGAAGCTAATCAAACAACTAAATCAACATCAATGGGGAGGCAGATTCTCCCACTGGAATACGTCAATTTAAAAAGCTCAAGCTGTCAGTGTTCCAAGTGTGACGTGGGGGGGTAATTACAAGAAAATGTTTTAATCTGTTTCAGAAAAACAGAATTCAAAGCTAAACACATACAGTAAAATATCTGACGTGCTGTTTTACGTTCGATTTACTTCTGCTCTGGTGCCTGCTCACACTGATTTTTACAAACAGACCAATAGCTATAATCATGCTGTTTCACAAAGTGACAAGTGGGAGCGTTATGCTGCTTCAACCCACATGGGAAAATCTAATTGTGTCTACTGGCAGAATATCAGCACTATTTTACTGAACATTGTGTTTATTTTTTCCTCTTTTAGCTCTTGCACAGAATGAATTTTTAAAGAGAATTAATCCTGGAGACTGAAACTGGAAAGAGTGAATAGTGACAAACAGATAAAAGAAGGTATTATGTACAACTAAATAAACGTGGGCGCAAAGAAGCTCAACAAATGGATGTGTTTTGATCTTGAATAAATATACGTAATTCTGAAGATTGCTTGTAAGAATGCTTTCTGTTCACGATCAGCAGATAAATGCTCAAAACACAATGTGTTCTATGATAAAATATTAGTCTGTTTGAAAATGGACCAGGAGCAATCTTTCCAAGTCGTTTTCTGGTAACAGGAAAGTGCACCAGAGCTCATTTGAACAGAACCAAAGTTAGGTGTGAAAGAACACAACTACAATTAAATCAGAAATGCAGCTGAAGGAGATAATATTTTTTGCTCCTTATCATTAGTTTGCTCAAGGACAGAAAAATCCTTATGTCAAGAAATAAATGATTCCTCTTTGATGGGCATGAGGATCTGGGATTTATGTCATAAGATAATTATCTTTTGTTAGGTGAAGCGATGAAACGAATGGGCAGAGTGCTCTGACCTGAGTCCTGAGGGCATATCTACAGGATCATAAAATCGATTCCTCAGAATTCAAGTGACAGAAATAATGCCTGCAGGTGTTAACAGTAAGTCGAGGGAGTGTTTAGATTTGGTGCAGGATCCGTGGGCTTTGCAGTTTATTTTCGTTAACCTGTCATGATCTTGGCTCTGCTAATTTCAAATATTTGTTTTACTCTGCAGTCAATTAAGTATTTTGCCAAAATGTAATATAAATATGCAGCAACACTCACTTCCTGTGTAGCTTGTTAGTTTAAACAAATTCAATCATGTTAAAGTAGGAAACAGAAAATTTAAGACTGCAGAAAAAGGGGAATAAAATCTGGGCAGATATTTACCTTGCATTTGCCAGACTTTCAGAGGTGACATTTCATTTGTGCTTTCGACTAAATGTTTCCTCAACTCTTTCAGCTGTTCTTTGAGCTCTGGGTAGAGCGTCCTGTTGAGAAAAAGACAGAGGGATTTAAAGTGTGTCTGCTAAATGCCTAAGTAGCAAATTGCTGATTAAGAGAGAGTAGACGTCTTCAAAGACAGATTGATTTATTTTCGGGTTAGTTTATCACAGATAGAAGGTTATAGTCAGTCCTTTGGGGGAAGAAACTGAGGAGGAAAAAAAGGAAGAAAAGAAAATCTTGGCCAGTTTGAGCATGGTGCAGTTCCTGGAGCGAATCCAAGCTTTGAATTTTTATCATGACCTGACACAGAAACACTCACTTGAGTTTGCCAAATAGGAATCCCTGGACCTCGTCCACTGGATCATTTTCACCGATCACTGTAGCGTTCACCCCCGTTCCTGCGAACACAATCAATTAACTCATTATTCACATCAGGGCTCCTCTGAGATTACACAATCATCTGTGTGTCTATCAACAGCATGTATTCTTGCATGCGTGGGCACCTTGGACTTGTGTGTCGTCCTTTGCCTTGTACTCCTGGTTTTTGATTGCCAGCTCCACTCCGTACCCAGACAGATACACTTTCTTTCCACTGGGATTCTAGAGGCAAGTGGAAAACATTGTAAAAAGAGGAGAAGAAAATGTAACCCTTGTCCCGAACATAAGTGAGTTGTATCCTAGGTTGCACCTTGGCACGCCACTTGAGGATGTATTCAGCGAGGGCTTAAATGCTTGTGTATCTGTATTCAAAGGGCACTGACAGTAGTTAAGTCAGTTAGACAGCGATCAAGCAGTCTGCTTCATTTCTCTTCAGCTGCACTGGTGGGAAATTTAACAATGTTTATAATCCATATTAAGATTAAGAGGGCAGAAAAAAAAATGTTTGCCCATGTGGGTTGTATTATTTCTACATCTTTCTATTTATCTACATCTCTGCTGTAAAAATGTATCTCACTTACAACAGAAACAGCTACAAACAAATATGGGTTCTGACTGAGCAAGCTTTCACGTGCCAAAGACACAGAGACACACACTGGACCTCGAGCTTAGAAGAACAAAAACAGTGATAAATGTTACAGCCTCTCCTGTGTCCAGGACTTCACGTTTCTCAGACAGATGGTGAATAATGTGGAATAATTGCAGGGTAGAAAAAATATAAATTGGAGAAGCTGCAGAGTTTTTATATTTTTAAAATCATTATCTTAGCTCATGTTCGCACAAAGGTAAATACAGTATATACATATGTTGGGTCTTCCGAATATCACTATGCAATTATTTTGTGAATAAGCATGTATCTCTACTGTAGTAAAGAGGGGTTGAGTGTCTCTAGGCAACAACGATATGACAGCAGTTGTGAAGGGAGAGGGCCACAACTGTTCATTTTACATGACTTGGATTTCACCAGAGGACCGTATACTTATAAAGATAAAATGTTTCCTGAAATGGAAAACTATCCAAATAAATTGTGATTGATTGATTGAAGAAAACAATATTTTCTGAAATGAATGAATTAAATTAACTAATTAATTAATCGAGCAACAGTTATCTCAGTCTATCTGGTATAATCTTATTATTTACTCTTGAAAGCATGCTTCTTACACACCCTCACACACAGCGACAAATTGCCATTGTATGTCAATGTACAGTTCATATTCAGTACATCATTGATGAAGACAGAGATAAAAATATAGCAATGTATATTGTATACATGTGACAAATTGTACTGTTGAAGGTGTTATTATGTAATTAGCTGTTAAACAGCTTGTGAAATTCTTTTGTCCTTATGAAGGTGTGTCACTATGTGTTTTGTATGGAACTGATCGTCTTATTTTGAAAGTTCACCTACAGCCAGGTAATGGCGGAACACGTAAGTCACCAGCCCCTCTCTGACTTTGGATGATATGAAATGGTGAAGCCTCTGGAAATCTGGTTCTCCAAGTTTAGCATAGAGGATGACGACAGGACCATCTGGGTTTGATCCTGGGTATTTGTGGTCGCCCTTGAACAGGTATGGCTTTGGTCTGAAAGAGTGAGGAGATTAAAGTAAATCACAATAACATATATATAATACTTATTTAACTGATTTATGACCATCAGATGTGCGTCATAAGAGTTTTTAAATACCGCTCAGATGCAGTTTTCAGAAGTTGTTCCAAGCTTTCAGTTTCACACGTCTTCACTCCATGGATGCTGAAAAAAGCTGAGCAGCCAGGCGGAGGAGGCTCATTGGACGCAATCTAACAAAATGAAGAACAGTGGGATCGTTCAACACACGCAAACACATTTACAGGAATATGATACCACTTCTCATGCATGAAATAGACTTGAACAACAAAATTAAAGGAGACATATTATCCTTTCTCAGCTTTTTGAATGTAAAAGTTCTGCAAAGTTAAAAAGCCCAGTGAGCGGTAAAGGAAGCATCTTTCTCAGACGGAAAACTTTGCTCATGAAGCTCCTGAGACACTTTGTCACTTGTCATGGAATAATAGTGATGCAATTTCTGAACATTAGAGCATGTAAACATAAAAACTTAAAAGTTATAACCCAAACTAAAATGATGTGCCTGAATATAATATGTCTCCCGTAAGTCATCGTCTTTGTACCTGTTGGAAGGAGTGAACTGTTGCAGAGTAGGCTCTCAGGGAGAGGGCAAACTTCAGCATGTTCACCTGGACGGAACTAAGCAAGGCACTGGCTTTCTTCACGATCAGGTCATAGTAGGCCTGATCTGTGTCTGTGTGAAGACACATGACATGTGTTAATGCTGTTATTTCATGAAGTTCCTGTTACTTTCATGACTTTTCAACACTGGCAGAGACACAAGTTAGCAGGAGAAAAATATAGTTTGCAGATCTTTTCTATCATGTTATTGCTTGCACCAGTGTTTGGACAAAACACTGACACTGCATTTGGTGCCAAGAGGTTTGCATACATATCACAATTTCCGCTGCTCACAGCACAGACACTAAAAGTGAAAACTGGTCTAGAGAGGGTGAAGAAGTATTACTTTACCATCATGCTCTCCTTCTATGTTTTCATTGGCCTCAACAAAGTCCCAGAACTTGTCCTGGCTCTCCTCTGCCAGGAACTCGCTGAGGAAGAATAGGATGAAGGTGACAGTTCCATAAGATGTGCGTGTAAATACGGCAAACTCTATATGTACTGTAAGTAGTGTTAAATGCTACATTTGGATTAATAATAAACTTGAAACTAGTTTAGAGGACGATCTCAGCTCTTAGGATATTGATTGATCCATTATCTGCTAGAAAAGTTTAATGTCAGATGGAATGCATAATGTGATGTGGCTGCTGTTGTATTGCTGAGCGGTGCAGTGTTGTACCTGGCCTCCAGGAGCAGAGGGGTATCAGCCCATTTGGTTGTGAGGGTGGTGGTGACAGCTTTGGAGTCTGTACCCCCCGACACTGCAGAGAGCAGTGATGGCAGCAGGAACCACAGAAGCCACATCCTCAGGCCTGTGTCTGAAAAAACTGCAGCAGGAAACATCAGATGGGAGGGAGAGGTAAATGACACAAAGAAACAGCTCAGACCTGTTTGTAGATGGCACCTAAAGCACCTGAGGTAAGACATGGACATGTAAAACACAGGTGTTCCCTCAAAACATTGAGGGGAAGCAAGTTATGTGACAGTTGTTGTGTCTCAATACTGAGAGATAAACCATTCAACTTTAAGCAGAATCAAATCATTATGGTATGATCAATAATTAAGCCTGAGACAAGGTGTCAAATCTCCTTTTGATGTACTTTGATGTCTCAAAGTGTATGTTTATATATTTGTGTTTCTCATACACGAGTGACCTGCCACAATATCAACAATGACCGACACTTGATGAATTTTTGTTTTTACACTTCCAGATGAGTAAAATAAAAAAACTTTTAAGCTGCATTCTATATATTGATTTGTTCAGCCCCTGCTGAAAAGCCTACAACTTTTGAATGGTGCCTTATGTTGAAGTGAGTATTTCCCTGTAGACATTACTTTTTATAATTTTGGTATAATCCGCAGACCTAATGTATTAACCTGTCACCATCTTATTTCCCCCCTGCAGTTAGTACCAAATTACATGGTGCTCTCCAAGAAAGTTTTTGTGATAGTAAAGTTTTACACTACATATATTCAGTTTTGAGTATGGGGCCTGTAAAATAAATTGCCAATGTTTAGTACAAAACTTATCAAACCAATATGAGGGAATATCTTATTTTCTACAAATAAGACGAAGGTGGTGGTGGAGCAAGTTGAATGTACAAGGACACAATGAGTAGTGTTTAAATGTTATATCTTAAAAAATGATTGTAGGAAACAACCTATGAAAATAACAGGATCATCTAAACACTTTGTAACTTTGTTTAAGTAAGTGCTATACAAATACAGTTATTATTATCATCATCATCTGTCTACATTAAGCAGTTAAACAGCACCAGAGTTAGTACATACAAACTGCACAAATATCATTGATGAAAACTTGCAGGGTCACTCCACATCTAATATCCCCGAATAAATAATCATACATCTGGGTAAAGATATATTTGATATAAGACACATAGACTCTGAGTGATGAAGGTGAACTGAGTTTTATAACGACACCTCAGCACACTCATTGTTTTATCACACTAGGCTTCACACATGTGTAAACAAACAGCTGGATGCTCTCTGACCAATGGGAAACTTCAGCGTGTCTCCTCAGTCTGAACATCCGGACACTGACACAGCTCTGACAGCATGAAGCTAAAGCTAACTGCACATCACGGTGGTGTTATATCAGTCTGAACATGTGTATAACATCTGTAATATTAACACACACACACACACACACACACACACACAGCTGCAAGGCACTTTGTCAACTCGAAGCTGTCATGTATTCAAAATTGACGCTGGTTTTAAAAGCGCGCTAGGCTAATTTAGCAAGCTAACTCCCCTTTCACGAGCAGGAAACCGCCTGATTTGACTCGCTCCTGGTGAACCCCCGCCTGCTCAGGACGAGTCTCCACTCAGGCCACAGAAGCAGATGTTACACGTGGTCAGTTAAAGCTTCGCCATGAGAGAAATGAATGATTTATTCTCACCGACGCCGGCTCCGCTGCTTCCTGCATCCATGTTCCGCTGAGAGTGGGTGGGTCCTGTCAGCCGCCGTCTGAGGTGACCGCAGATGTCGCCTGTTTGAAATGACTGAAACTCTCCGAGCGTCAAAAACAACACAAACAACGAAACGTGAGCTGAACACAAAGAAAACATCAGAGGGAGAAATAATTCAAAACTCAAACTGGACGAGGATTCAAGCAATTAGTTTTACAGGCTGACCCGTGTTTAATTATTTTTGTCAATTTTTTTTTTAATCACCTGTCCGAATTAAATTAAAAGCTTAAAATGGAATGGAAATGAAAAACACAATTAAATGTATCTTTTCTATTCAATTATTTATTTGCAGATAATAATGCTCAAACTGGCACAGAGCAGTTAAAGAAAGGTAAAGAGACCTCATTCAATATTTTGCCTGCTGTTCTTAAAACAACACGATTTAGCCACAAAAAGTGTATATACTAAAGAACTGCTGTAGCTCTAATTAATTCAAATCCAAATCATAAAACTATGATATCACAGCTAAGATATATGAAAATAGATGTTTGGAAATACCAAGAAACAGGTTGTCCATGTAATACCTCATAATACTTACATTTAAATAAATTATTGGGTTGTTACTGCCCATAAAAGTACAGACACATCTCCATTCAATAAAATAAAATAATTGTTTAACAGCATTTATCTGTATCAGTAAAATGAAAAAAAACCAACCTACACATAATTTCCACTTTTCTGTTTCAGTGATTTTGTGCCAGTAAAATGTATATTTATTCGTATAGACAACGTGTGTGCAGTGCTAAATTACTGTGAAAGTCACCTTTATGGAGAAGACACATTGTCACATAATTAGGTCTGCATACGGTTTTATAAACGTGTGGGATGAAGCAGTGCTTCATACTGTGAAAAAGAAAATGTCTCCTAGTTGTTCTATCATATCACATTATATAAAGTCGTGACGGCGCCACTGGAGACTTGTTATTTAATTAATGTGTAAAAAGCAGGACAGTGAAAGCAAGAAAATGCAAAGTGTGTTTGTTCGATTTAAATTTCTGTATGCAGCTATGTGCATTTAGAATGTGTGTGTTCATAGACTTTACCTGAAGATGGATGACATAACAGCTCCCCAAAGTGAAACCAAAGTGTCTTGATCGCCACCTGGTGGCTGGCTACAGTATTGATCATGGACCCGGCCTCCTCCATGTTAGCAGATGGGACATGGGGCACAATAAAGTCAAAGTACACGTCATATATTTTAGGTAATTCTCATCACACTAACGTTTGTTAAAGTGTTGGATTGGTTTTAATTATTAGTTATTTGATGCAATATTAAAAAGTTTGAATCAGCTGAGTCTGACTCGATTGGTCGAGCACGTCTGTCCCCCAAACATTTCTGCACATACCCTGGCTCCAAATGTGCAAAATGGATATCCTGAATATTTTGGCTTCATTTCTGGATTGTGGGAGGAAATGGAGACACATCCTCCATCTTAATTTACAGTCCAAGTGTGTGATGTGGAGACATTTATATGTTTGCACCTGTTTGTGTATTTATGTAAGTAGGTGGGTGTATGTTTGGATCGTGTACTTTTATTTGGTGCATTTATTGTTAAATGGTTTATATTTAATCATAATGCAAAAATCAATGAAATAAAAAAACTACATTTGACTCCTATAATAATAATTGTATGAAGACACTAAAGGAGGGATGTTCTATTTAAAAGGAAGAATATGTTTATGCCTGTGCATGTACTAGTTAGTCAGTCCATAAATAAGTGAAGGTGATATTTGGGGCTGGATGTGAGAAAACTGTACGGATTGATTTGAAAAGCAGCTCATGGAAATGAGGTTTGCTGTTTGCTCTGCGTGATAGCCGAGGGAAATAAATCCTTTTGGTTAACAGTATTTGTTATGTTTTAATGAAAAAGTGGAGGAACTGATATCCGTCTCATTTTTATCAGTCACCTGACACTCCGGGGTCCGGTTTCTAAATCTTTACCTTGAGTTTGTGTGATATTCCCTATCCATTGAAGTGAAGCTCCCATTGGGGAAGGTTGTTAAAATGTGCCCGGATCCCTGTCTACCTGTTGTGTGTTCTTGACAAAAAGAAAATGAAAAGGTACGGAGTCACTGTCCCAGGGTGTGGAGACATGGGTCTTGCGTTTTCATTTACTCGCTCTGTGGTCTAAATTAAATTGGACAGCTGATCCTCCAAGAGGGAGCAGTTCCAGGATTTGATTTAACATTGTATAAAAAGCAGCGACATTAATTATCCTGTTGGATTTGACCTTCACTTTGATGTGCACGTGTGAACACCCCGCTCATGTAGACGTATACACACACACACACACACACACACACACAATGTCACACAAAAATCTGTTTCATCCCTACAAGGAAATGCCAAAACATCCTTACCACAGTCCCCACAAGTATAACTAGACATAGCTTCACACAGGCTGCCCACTGGGCCTGTTCATCTGTCAGGGAAGTGACATCTTCAGATGAATTATGGGAGATGGCTGTCATCTTCTCTGGGGTCACATAAGAAATGGCGGGTACGGGCTGCGGGCTCCCTCTCTTCACACTATTACACGTCAGCCATTTTAGAGGTTGAAAGCCTCGACGGGGGACCAAAACGACCTCAATTAAACCCCCATTAATATTAATACATTTTGTCGTTTCACGTGAGTTGCCGCTAATTATATGTGTCCCTGACTGTATAATGGGGGTCAGCTGGGGTCTCCCACATGAAGCTTATTCACCACATTACAGCCACCAAACAATGGGCCGGTCTGGGCTCCAGTCTTAAGTACAGATGGAGGGGAGAAATTTAAATACAGAGGCCCTGAGGGTCACAACATAGACACATAGTCAGGACATTTTCACACCTGAAAGTCTAGAACATGGTCCAAATAAATGTCTTTTGTATGACATGCGTACTTGCTGTCATCAACACCTACGTGGGCTGCGTCTATATGTACTTGACATTAATTAGTTTGTAGATCAGCATCTGCATCCGACTTCTTAAATTTCTTTACCATTGAAATATCATTATGGTATTATTACCAATAAAATGATCGCACTGTGTTCTCAAACGATCCATTCAGATCTCGAGCCCTGAGTGACTTCCTGTGGGGCTCCAGGTTGAAGGACACTCCCGTACTGTATCTGAGTGCATTTACCTTGCAGCTGCCATGATGGACTTCCATGGATGAATCGTTGCAGCTGAAGACTGAAAGCAATCCGACAAGCTGTTTACAGTTCTTTTTCTTCTTCTATTGTTCACTGACGTCTCAGCTGAGACCACCTCTTTTCATCTGACAAAACTTCGGTCTGGACCGTAGTCCAAGGAACTTTCCACATCTTTTATTTTGGTTTGGATAAACTGAAAAGGCCAAGGGTCCAAACCAAACAAAAAGAGAACTTTCAAATTGGAAACTGACACTTTTGTGCTGCAACATTAGTATAATTCTCCTGTGTGTGCATTAGCCATTTCAAATCCACTACATTCCATTCATTTCAAGTCAGTTTTATTTGTGTAGCGCCAAACCGCAAAATCCATTATCTCCAGACACTTACCATTGTAAGGTCAAGACCTTACAATATTACTTCATGAGTATAAAGGTGGAATATTATCCCTCTAACAACCTCAGATCTCGTGTTTGGCTTTGACCCAGAGTTTGTATCCTGCTTCATTTCTCCCACATCAACGTTTATCATATTTTTATGGAGAGGTTAATAAGTTTTCAGCAGATCAGCTCTTTATGAGCTCCTGGGCCACAGCTCCCCACACACACACACACACACACACACACACACACACACACACAATAAACACAACATTGAGACTATAATGGGATTGCTGTGTGATTCCCACTGGTAGAAGCGAGAGTCCTGTGTGCCTGGGAGGTTGGATTCTTCAGTTCAATCCTTTAATATCGTGAGCGATGATTTGGTCTTGACCTGGGAGATTAGCCAAACCCCCGAATGGAAGGTCAGATAATGGCGCAGATGTCTGATCTAATCATATTTCTATTTCTATTGCACTCCCACGCCGGATTGCACTCTCATTGCCTTCCGAATTTACTTTTTTGACAAAACAGGGTATTGAAGCCCTGCAAATTGTTTGTGTATAGAGATTCGTCCACATTGTATATTTGACGATGAAGGTCTAAACCATGCCACTGCTGGAAAAGACTCAACTGCAGACAAAAGACAGAAACTCCATCGTGACCAGTGCCAGAGCCAACAGGGCAGTCCTCCAGAACTACAATAGCCTGGCTCTGATGCGTGTAAGGGAGGCACTCAGTATGAACTTATCTGCAGAATTCCATGCTGGAAATAAGCGATAATAATGCCAGAGCTTCTTTGTTTGCATAAGGAAGCACAGAACCAGCAATGAGGAGCTGCAGCCAGTTTAACCTCGTATTAACGGATTGTGGCCATAGCCCAATCACTCAGAGCTGGATTCCCACTGCAGCAGCGAGCACTTTCTCTCAAACACTCACATGCATATTTTCAGGCAAACAAAAGCTGTCGGATCCTCTGCAGTAGCACGGCTATTACTGTGTGTTTAGTCCAGCTGCACTTGAAATGACAGTGACCCAGAACTATGGGCAGGATTAAATAACCCTGAACATTCAGTCCACTGCACCACAGCTGCCACAGACCTTGCACAGCCTCGCTCTCTCCCTCACTGCCCCTTATTCCCTCTCTATTCATTTGTCAGACAACAGAAAAAACATCCTCTCTTTCCTCCTGTCTTACATAAACACCCTCTCTGATTCCTCCTCTCGTTTACACTCTTGCTCTTGATGCGCGCTGATCTCCCTCCAGCCAATTGCCTCCGCTCATCACCATCCTGGCAAATTATTCCTCTGCTCCGCTTTGAGGGTGTCAAAGTTGAAGCTAAACGGACTGTTGATGAGACGGGGCGAAGGCCTGCGCTCTGCTCCATCTCCTTTGCGTGCTCAGCCAAGGACAGGGGATGATATTTACACCCCCCCCTCCCTTCGACAAACGCCCACCTCCCAGAGCAGAGGAAGAAGCTTATTTTTGTGCATGTACGTGCATTCGACAGACCCAGAGTGTTTGCAGATTGAATTAGGCTGTAGATCACCGTTGACAGAGCTGAAGCTATCATTAGGAGGGGAACAGGCTGCTTTATGGGGGTCACACTCCTGTGGTTAGTGTGGGCAAGCAGTGGAAATGTCCTACAGTTAGAGATTCGCCTGTGGATGGAAGTGCAGAAACTTGGAGGTCGAAGCTCCCACATGAGTTGTCAGAAATAATATCGCTAAATGAGTGAGTCTTAAACGAACTGGCTGCATATCAAGTTTAGCACTTGTCTCTACAGCTGTTTTTTCCATGCAGTGTGAGCTTGATAATAGAGTAATGATAAACGATAACCAGTGACAACCACGACACAGTCAGAGCTGTAAAAATGAAATATTTTAATTGGTGGCTTGATGATTCATTTTTGCAATCATAAGAAAACAAACCCAGAATTATGCATACAGAAAGAGCCAGAGACAGACTGCACACCAATCCAAAAATAAAATAAAAAACAAAGTCTCTATCACACTCTCTTTTAACACATTTAAAAAAAGAAAATAACAAATAAAAAAGATGATGATAGTGACACCTGGGTTGCTTCATTGTCACGACGAAACGCTGTTAAGACATCAGATATACATAATGATGAGACATAAAATATTTGAGTATAGCTTTACAGCATCAATCTCTGGAATAATTTCAGCAAAAGGGAGTTTTTTTTTCCTTTCACTCTCTTCAGGTGAGTATTTATGAGGATTGCTTTAAAATCTCATGGTCGCTTGAAACTGGAACGGTGAAAATATAAAACACTCAGGATAAAGAATCAGTTGGTTTTTTTGCGGTTAGACTCTAATGAGGAGCCAGATTATTGGTTTGGAGCTCAAATGTGGTCTAATACGAGTCTGACTGTGAAAGAAGAAGTTGTGGGCAGAATGCCTGGAGCTGCAGTGCTTTTCAAGTCTCCAGTTTCAAGACTACAATGACAGGAGGAAGTTAATGTGAAACAAAAAATGGGGGAAAATCTCTTTTTCCATATCCATTCTCTCCATCCCTATTGTATTACTTTGAAGGTTACACAAAAAGCAGCATATTGACTCTGGATGCGTCCCAATACCTTTCATCATCCCCACTTTTATTCTTCTCTTCCTTTCATAAGTCATCCCCGTTAAATCAAAAACAAGAGCATCTGGGTGATTCGCTGAAATGTAACGAGGGCAATGGTAAATGGTTAAAATGTTAGTTTTTCCTCCTTTTTTATATAAAAAAAACACTATTGTTAACAACAGGATGCAACATGTTATTTATGGCGACACCAAGGAAGCAGTTTGCCTGCATGCATCCTCAAATTGCCCCACGGATGACAGGGTATCTAGCGTTTCACACTTTTGAAAACCCTTCTCCTTCATTTTTTCTCTTATTGCTCAGATTCTATGTGTTGGGGGGTTGATAGCATTTTAGCAAATCAGAATCCAGTGTCAAATCTAACTGGGCTTGGAGATTATATTTGTAAATTAAGTTGTATCCACCTTTTGTTCGCTGAGGCAGCGGAAACAGAGACTACAGAGATCCTCCTCAACCAAACAGGATGCGTTCAGCTAAATGCACCGATTATATCTGTAGAGGGGTGTTGACACTCTATTGGACTTGTTGATGACCTCAGAGTCCCCTCGCAGATGTAAAGTGGCGTTTACAAAGCGATGTTCCTGTTCACTAACAAACCATATTTGGCAGAGTGCAGATGCTGGTTTGCAGACGCAAAGTTTAATCTTAGCCATTATGAAAATATTATTTATCGTACAACCTGGGACCTGAACACTCTGAATAATTTGACTTCCCGTCTTTGTGTAGGGAAAGCGAATCGTATAATGACACATGGACACTGAAAAAACAAATTGGTTACAGAGTTGTCGTGACCCAACCCTGCATTTTCATGTGACAAGTTGATTTGTTGAAATAGATTTAAGATTTTAAGCTATTCAAAGTAAAAAAAATATAGGTATCCAAGTGATGGTGAGGAGACAATAAAAAAGAGGGGGAAAGAAAACAGCTGAGGAAAGGGTAGAGGGGAGTATTACTGGCTTGCATCGCTGTCACACGCAGTTGGTTGCAAAAAAAAATGGCGAAATAATTGGTCAGGAAACCAGTCATTCACAAAACTCATTGGACATCCTCTCACTGTCAGGCACCCTATTTACAAAGGCATACACATACGCCAATCAAAGGCATACTGTACATACTATTTACACACACACACACACACACACAAACAAACAAACACACACACACGCACAAGTAGTCAGAGAAATTACTGTAGTATAATGCAGATACAATATCTGACAATGATTATGTCTACTATGATCCCAGTACATAGAGGCACTGCTACCTCGCCCTGTGCATTCTTCAGGCTAAATCCAGCTGAAATACCGGTCACGCTAATGAACTACGGGTCACCAGCGCCGTGCGTTCCCTTTCAGCAGGTGGGATGGAGGCTTGTGTTCAAGACTGCCGCTTTCACTACATAGCTCTTGGACACAGGAAAAAAGAAAAAGAAAAAAGAAGAAGAGAGAAAGTGAAAATGCCACCCACTGCATTAAGGGCTCACATTGCCATGGTGACCAGTGGTTCCGCAACTCCCATCTCCAGCGTTTGTCTGAGTTAAGGCTTCCAAAAGCATTTGCCGCTCACACAGCACGGTTCCTGGCAACAACCTGCAGCAGGCCGTCTCCTCTCCCTCCCTTTGATTTCTTCGCACCTATATGTGAGATTGGGGTCTGTAATTGGCTGTCATTCTGTGCAGCACTGAGACGCAGAAAAAAAAAAAAAGGAGAAAAGGAGAAATAATGAACTTGTTAAGCGACAGGAGCTTTGGGAAGCTTTAACAGAGAAACAGGCCACTTTTTGTCTTTTTGCCCCCAAGATACAAGGCTTCAGTAATGGCTATGGTCCATTTGTACGTCAATCCGATCCATTATCTTTGACTTACAAAAACAAAAATAAAGAAATAAAGGAATCACTTTTCTTTTAGGCAGCAATATTGGTCTCAGTGTTATTACAATTCTGCTTTTAAAAAAGCAAAACAAAAAAAAAACACAAAAAGGTAAAATACAAATGAAGTCATCCGAGAATGAGACAGTCACTATTTCATGACCGTTCATGGGTGAAATGGCAGATTATTTTAAGCAGAAAAGCTTTTTTATTACACAACTCAGTCCAACTTCTTCTCTTTTCGGTACAGTCTCTCATGTATTCCCACCATTTGCAATGTTCAGCTCAGCTACTCGTGCTTTCATAGCTTTCCGCGGCTTCCTTTGAAACTGGAGCATCCAGGAAGTAGACCGGTCCTTAGCGAGGATTAGTGGGAATTCACAGACTTAAAATTTGGACTTTCTCATGCTCCATTATCAGGCCACAGAGAACGAGAGGGGGCACGGTGGGAGGAGGAGGAAGCTGGAGTGATGGATGAGATACTCGGTTGTCAGCAACTCTTAAAAATATCTCTTCTCTGCTCAGTCATAATGATGAGAGAGACAGAGAAACTCAGAGGGGGGAGACAATCTAAGCAGGTGCTAATAAAAACTGGGCAAGCCTCAGTAACATGAGCTGATGCAATCGACCAAGCCCTGGTCTCCATAGCAACCACTTGGACTCTCATCCCCGCAGCCCAACTCTCCGGTAAAGTCTTTGTCATTCATTTGGGTCTATGATGCAGGCGCCACTTCCTGTGTATGTCTATGTGTATGTATATGTGTTTATGTGTATGCATTTCACATTACATATGCATGTCTGTGTGTTTGCTCTCATTCTGCTGCTACCAGCGGTTGATGATCTGGTTCATGTAGTCCTCAGTGGGGAGCCTGCTGCCCGCCTCCTCCGTTCTCCCTCCCTCCTCGCCCTCCTCCCGCTCCCCATCCTCCAGTGTCGACACCGAGCTCTGTCGGCTGTGGGAGGGCCACAGGCTGACACCCAGACCCAGGCCCTGATGGCTCTGCTGCATGTGGAGCTTGAGGCGCTGCTGCCGCCGCTCCTGCTGCCGGGTGTACTGGTAGCGTTGCTGGAACAGGTCCTTGGCGTAGTCGTACAGCTCCATGTCCAGCTCGTTCAACTCCTCTATGCGCTGGACCTAATGAGGAGGGGGCAGATCAAAGACTTAAGTTTTCGTAATGAGATTAAGGGAAAAGAAGAATGGAGGAAAGGAGACTGAAGACAGGAGGATATAGAGAAACAGAGAAGGAAAAAAATCAACAGATAGAAAAGGTGAGAAAAGAGAGAGAGAGAGTGTGTGTCTTTATCGACCAAATCATCCCACAATCTATGAAACCGTATGTCTTGTTTGTGCATTGCGTTCCCACAGCATCTGAATCACCCTGAAGATTAAGCAAATTAGACTGATGATGGATGATTGAGTTTATCCACTTCGTTCTCCCATCGCCGCTGCCTCTCACTCCCTTTTTTATCAAGATCTTTTTCAAATCTATTCGGGGCACTGACAACAAAACCTTACTGTTCTTTAAAAAACTTTCATGTAGTTGCCTTTCCTTGTCCATACATTGACTGCATTTACAACATTGGGGGGGTTGAGGTCAGATCGCAATTTTGACTATTTACCTTATTCTGAATAACACATTATCTAATGTATAATGTTAACATGAGTGGCTAATTAGATAATTCATATTCCTTTTGATATGTTACAGAGCAGAGTGTGATTGCGACGTACACCAACATTATGTCCGAACTACAGCTTCATCATTTTATGAATAAGTTGTAGTTGATCAACCTCTGAGGCTGTAAAACACAGTAAACCTCACCACAGTGGTTCCTGAAACATTAGAGAGGAATATCCCAAGAGCAGGAAACTATTGTTAAGTTCACGAGTTCCTCAAAAGGTTCTTGGTCCCTCTGGAAAAGTTCCCTATCACACAACATTTATACAAATGTTTTAAAAAGGGTTTCTACAGGGAGAGGGAGGTGAGCGAGAGATGTTGGCAATATGCAAGGCGACTGAAACGTGTTTGATGTTAGCTTGGGCAGTGCAGCTGGCTTTATTGGCGCATCTCATCTGCTGCGTCTGTCTACAACATGGAGCGGGAAATATGTTTAATTAACAGAATCCCTTTGAAATCTGCGGCGGAGTGCGGAATATCATTTGTGAGCAATGTGTGCGACAACAGAGACGTGAAGCGGAACATCGATGTGAGGAAATTAGACATGTTTGATCTGTAGCACGAGGGACACCAGCACAAAGCAAAGGAGACGGCAAATATTCTCCTCATCACCTGGTGATGTAATTTATTTGACTTTTTTTTAATGAATTAAATAATGTCTCAATTTCACACAGGTATTTAAATTGAAAGTTAATTTTAGAAACGAATTCACCACATGATATTTCCTCTTTTTTGAGATAATAACCATTGGTCCACCTTCACACAGCCTCTGTCAGCCGGGGTACATTTTATTTTCTCTCCTCCCTTCTGGATTTTTGATGTATAAATCACCAGTCTGCTGTTTGCTGGATTTGTTTTGCTGGGAAACGAGCCTAAGAACTCCCACATTGGACCAAAGTGTGAAGAACATGTTTGAAGCTGCTGTTTATTTTTTAATGGCGACAGTCATCCCAAATCTTTTCACAGCGAAATTAAACCACCGCGCTCGTCAAGTCTCGGTCTTTCTCATGTTCTGTTTTCCTGCTCTCAGATTATCTTTCACCTTATTTTTTACATTTTTTCTTCCTAAAAGAAGTTTATTTGTCATAACAGGACTAATCTAAGATAAGAAATGTTAACTCTTCAATTCTTTAGAGAGACATTGATGAAATATAGAGTTTAGCTTTATGCCGACAGAACTAGAGCCACAGACACGTCTGTATCTGTGTTAATGTTTTCTGATTTGTGCCAATATGAAGACTTTTATTTAACAAAATAAACAATGCAGAAAAGATTTATTTTTATATTTGATATAAAATAGTTTTTTTTTAATTCAAGTTATATATTATATATATAATATATATTTGGCTGTTTTTGTGTTTTTTATTTACAGTTATTCAAAACTTTAGGGTTTTATATATATAAAATATTACCAATATCTGTATCAGAATCTGTCCCCACAAATCGATATCATCCATGCTGAGCTGAACTAACCGTAGTATTATCCAGGTCCACCCCTGCTGCCCTGGTGCTGTTGTATTGCATGAAGGGCCTGATGAAGCGCAACCTGAAGGTCCGTTCAAACAGGAACTGGGTTTTCCTCTGGTACTCTGTCAGACCGAAGAAGGCCATGTCTCTCAGGTTCTTCTTGGCCGACTCCAGGAGAAGCTGAGCCCTCTTCTTCTCTGGAACTGTGGACATGTTGTAGCAGCCGACGAGGCTCAGGTCTGCAAGCATACGAACCTATGGGGCAGCAGAAAATAAATTATTGAATAACTATCTCAGGCAATATATAATATTTACTCCATTCTTTCTTTCACCCCCTTTTGGACTTTGTTGACTGTCAGCAGGATTGTGTTGCAAAGATAAGAAATCACTACGCAACTGAGTGTACTCTGGAGCCGTTGTGTCACAGCACAGGAACAAGAACCAAATACTTTAGAGTCACAAGAGTACAGTGTGCACCTCAACCTCTCGGTCCACCAGGATGCCTCAAGTATGTGTGTTTTGTGTTTCAGTGTGTTCATGTGTGTCGCATTTCTAAGTCATGAGACCCTGAGTAATAACAGCCTCCAGCACAGATGAAATAAGCTGGCCAACACGTTTGGGTGGGAGACTGAGATAGCATGAGAAAAGAAGGTGTGAATCTGAGGTGTTTATTGCCAGCAGGAGAACTCCTTACTGGGCACGTATATGTGTGTGTGTGTGTGTGTGTGTGTGTGTGTGTGTGTGTGTGTGTGTGTGTGTGTGTGTGTGTGACGTGTGCAAGTCATCTTTTAGCTTTTCAATGAGTCTGGAAGTAAGAAATCAAATAGAAACCTATTCTCTTCCTGTTAAGAAATCAATATCTGCTGATCTAAGTTGAAATCAATAACAATAATAATATCTTGGGTTTATACAGTGCCTTTCAATGTACCCGAGGAGATAAAGAACCTATTGGTCAAACTTCTTTGTCAACAGGTGGGCAGTGAGAAGCTTATTGGAAGTGTCCAGAGATGGGGCATTATAGATAACATATCTCTGCCACGAGAGAATTCCAGAGGGTGGAGGCTGCCACATGAACGCCCTGTCACTATTTTATCTAGTTTCCTGCAGAGATTAAATCCCTCAATTGGTGTTTTCCAGTAGAGTGAATTAATTAAGTGAATGGCATTTAAATTATTTCACTGGCTTCAGCTCAGGGGACTGTAGCAGTAACAGTCAATGTGACAATGGTGTGAGATATCCCATCCATCTGGACCTTGTAGTGCTATTGTCTTATTGTCATGAAGTTTATTCCTGTCAAAGGCTTCTTGTCTCCCTACCTGTCTGTTGTTAGCCAGGTTGTACGGACAGTCCATGAACTGCTGCAGGGTGCACCCCGACCAGTCGGAGCCCTCGTAGCAGGAGGGCAGCTCCTCGGGTGTCGGGGTCCGTCCATCACACATGTGGAGGGAGGTTTTCCACGTTGCGCCCCGCTGCACGTGCCTCCACTCGCTGAGGTATCGAGACACAGGGTCCCTCAGCAGAGTGATGTAGTAGAACTTCCTGTCAGGGGTTAATAAAAAAGGAAGGAGAGACAAGAAAGAAAAAAAAATGACATTAACAAATGATTGCCTTACTAGAAATTGTCACAGAAAATTGTCTTTGATTTAGGCTCAGTGGATCAATAAGAGTAAGAACGCTGCATTAAGGAGACTGAAATAAACCCAGCAGCAGCACAACCTGTGAAAACAACTTCATGTATTAGTGTTTCACCCGCACACTGAATTTTATTGACTTTTTCTTCTGGGCGTAACTTCTTGACTGTTCAGATCAAGTGAAACAATTCAAAGAAGAGAAGCAAAAAAGATAATTCTTTGAACAAAAAAGGCAATGCATCAGGTGTAATTCTCCAGTCATCCATGTGATGGCACTAGTTACAACACTTTCCTGCAGAAGTTCATTTCAAATCCTCGTAACTCAGTGAGAGGAAGGCGACAGACTGTGGTTGTCATCCTTAGCACAGTATTATTTGCATTTACTTGAAGCAGCCCTGTGATGCACATTGGGGAACTGGGCAGGAGATAAGAAGTGAAACCACAAATGAGTGTGTTGAGGCAGAGAGTTGATTTGTCAGGGAGAGGATCAGGTCAACGTTCAGCGGGAAAAGAAAATGCTGGCACAAGCACATCTCACTCCACAACACACACATCTCCATGCTGCAAACATCCTTATGTCTCAGACACACACAGCCAACATCCTTCCTCTTCCCTCACACTTGCACAAAGTATTAGGTCTGCCTCCAAGAGATGACTCATCCCGCATCTGAGATTTGGATGTGACTTTTTCTGTGATGTGTGCGTGCATTTATGTGTATGCGTGCAATGTAATGGTGCATAGCACAGTTCAATGTCTCTCCAGAGGGGACACTCCCACCAGAGCAGAGACCTTTCCAGGCCTTCACACTCCAGCTAATTACTGCAGTCTAATCAATCAACACATCCCCATTAACCACACACACACACCCACACGCAACCTGTGTGTGGGTGGGTGTGTGCCTGCAGTGTGTCTGGGAGCGATGGTATGGATTTGTCTGGTCAACAGACGCACGCCACCGGTCGAAAAAACACACACAGGCACAAACGCTGCCCTCCTGTACTGGGCTTGCATCACGTCAGAGGAATGTTTGCAGAGAGATATCTTGTGTGCTGACAGGACTCCACGAAATCGCCCGCTTCACACAAGTTGCATCTCACACACACAGACACACACACACACACATAGTCTCTGCTTCCATCGCTAAACCTTTGGCTTCACAGTACAAAGCTCACCCCAGGAGAGAGGAGGGGTTGCTGGGTGGACACAAAGCCCCAAGTGTCACATGAACAGTAGCAGTGTCTAGATATTAAAAAAGAAGTCGCTAAGCCCCCCGAAATCCAGCGGCACCAGGGGGATCGTGCACAAAAACACAACCAAAAACGCTAAATCTAGCAACAGCTGAGCGCTGGTGCATAATAGAGCAACCAAACCCTAAATCCAGCAGCTGCGAGGAGATCCCGCACTGAATAAAACAGCTAAAAAAAACAAATTTCATCAGGGAGATCCTGCACAACTAAGCAACCACACCCTGAATTTATCTGCAGCACAGACAGAGAGAGGGCAAGAGAGAGAGATCTCTATAAATGAAACAAATCTAGTAGCAGCAGGGGGATCATGGACAATGAGACGACTAAACCCTAAATCCAGAGGCAGCTGGGAGATCCCAGGCAACGAACCAAACAGACCCTCAATCCGAGGACAGCGGGGGGATCACAGCCATAGAAACAAGTATCTAAACTCTAAATCCCATCAACCTAAACCTAAAAACTCATCCTCCCCGATCTAATCAAAAGCAGAGGGAGTGGAGAGGCACAGTCGAAGTGGAGCCTGCAGGAGAGAGAGGGGTACATTATGGAGATTCCTATGATGACATTATCAGGATTCCTAACACTCCCCAGAGTACAGTGTGTTTGTGTGTGTGTGTGTGTGTGTGTGTGTGTGTGTTTGTGAGCATGCTGTGTGTGTTTCTGAGACTATGCCTATTAAATCAGTGATGACATTTTCCCCCTCTTGGCTTCTATTCCGCTGAAAAAACACGGTGCTGTTTGGCCCTCGCTACAGAGATGGAAAGAGAGAACGAGGGAGAGGGTGAAAAACACAGAGAGAGACAGAGAAAGAGAAAGAAAGAGCGGGAGAGGGAAAAAGAGAGAGGGAGAGAGAGCGGAGGGGGGCGGAAGAGAATTTCAATTAGTTTTCTAATACTGTGAAAGCAGTGAGGGCCCTGAGCCCAAGTGATTTATCAAAGTTATGGCTCCTGCTATAATGAAGGCTCAGGCATATTACCAGGCAAAATAAATAAATAACACGGGTGCAAACACACACAGGATGCAACACAAATCGTAATCCAAACACCGGCGTACATACAGACGCAAATAAATGATCTTAAACGGCGTGGCTGCCTGTCGTGTCTGCTGGGTCAGGCCGACTGCAAAAACTGGTGCCGTAGAGACTTTCTCGCCTTAAAGCCTAATGATGTCTGGCCGTGTACTCAAATCCCTAGGTAATGACATTTCAACACGCGCACACACACACACACTCAATCACCTGCAAGTCCACTCCCTGTACACACTTTCTAACGCACACACTCGCTGCCTCTGAGGTGACAGCCACTTTTTTTTTCCAGGGATACTGCTTATAGTTGAAGCACTTGTCAAACCAACTTCAAAGCTAATAATACGCGGCGCTGCAGTCTCTCACAGTGCAGACTTTAGCACAGCCTCCTCTGAGAACAGCAGCTCGAGGGGCCTCTTGTGCAGACCACGCTCACGTGCAATACATGTTTCAAGGATACCCACCCACCCAACACCATTACGAAAAACACCCTGGACCACATTCATCAGGTATCAAACATGTTGACTAACTGGCGAGCGCTTTGTCATCGTATTGATTTATCCTATCAGCCTGGTGGAGAGTAGAGTAAGGCTGATAAAAAAAGTGGGAGCTTGGCATGGAGAGGTGTGATGGAGCTATTGTCTGGACTGCCGTGGGATCTGGACTGAAAAAAATCACAGTTTTGTTGTTTCTCTCTCACGTTCTCTCTTCTATTTTTATTTGCTCTGTTCGGTAAATCCCAACATTTAGCCGAGCAGACAGTGCAGAATGTATGAGCTGAGTAACAGAACGCAGGAAATAAAAAAACATTTCCAACAGCTTTCTGACTTTAAATCCTCCTTTTCTCACCATCTTACATGTGTCGAAAATAAGTCAGAATGAGACAGTCATAAGCCTCAAGAGCGCATTAATCAGAACACATTCTTGGTACAACAATGTTTAAACTAACACATTTCTTCAGGTTTTAACTAGTGACAAAAGTAGTGCGAATGAATATGAACATATTTAAGACTTACCGAAAAGTTTTAAAACCTGTTATCAGGCTAATATTTTAACAGATTTAAGACAATTTAAAGCCTGGAAATGGGATGTTTCAATTTTAGACTCTGTAAGACACCTCTGAAACCCTGACAACAGCCACACTGGTACAGATCTAGCGCATTAGTGAGTCAAAGCGAGTACATGTGTGCTTGCCGAGCCTTATCAAGAGGAAACACACAGCGCCTGGGCCTGTTATGGTCTCCGAGCGCCCGGGGAAAATAAGCCCTTTGCCTGTTTCCTGTGGGTCACAAATCACCGCTTCTAGAACCTCCACATTCTCCGTTTAACCTCTCTTCCCCTTCTCTTTAAATCTTTCCCTTTCTGTCAGCCGTTGACTGACCATCTCTTGCCCCCCTCCTCTCTCCTCTGCAGTTGATTACAGTGTGTTCTCCCTTCTGAGACTTCTGTTTTGTTATAATCTCAAAGCAGGAGTCTCGAGTCATGTCCGGGGTGGTGCCACGATTTAAGAATGGTGAGGTTCAAATAATTTTTCAGCGCCAGTTAAGTTTGGGTTAATAGAAGGTTTCAGTAAAAGGAAAATAATTAATCAAGGTTACATGTTGGTGATTTCTACCGAGGGTTTAATGCCAGTTGTTTTCTTGGGCTTTTAGGAGCATAGGAAATACTAGAGGTGGTTTGTGGCTGCTACAAAGTCTTCATTTGTTCTCCAGAGAGTGTGAAAAAGTTAAGAGGCCGTGTTTACATATAAAGAGAATGATTTACAAATGCACACGCACGCACATGTGCACATATGAACACCCAGACGCACAAACACGGTGACGCCACCAGCATCCCACTGCACAGAGCAACCATGATTAATTAATAGTCCACGGATGTTTGTTGAAACCAGATCCACTTAACAACATGGATCTTGCACCTCTAAAAATGGACTGAATTCAAACAACTGAGTAAAAGAAAGAAAAAAAAAAAGAAATCACACCACAGAAGAAGTGTTTTTTTCCACCTGATATATAGTGGTGTTGTGTTTTGTGAATGCTGATGTGAATTGAAACACACAGAGAAAGAGCGAGAGTAATAAACCACTTTTGGCAAAATGGAGAATTGAACGAAACTCAAACAAAGGCAGAGGAGAGAAGAGCTGAGGTTACAGGGAGGATGTCTGCCTGTTTCTTGGCTTGGGTTAAAAAAATAAATGACTGCTGGACACTGGGATCTGCCAACACTCCATTACCTGTGATATTTGACTTGTTTCCACATTTCACAAGTCATCAGATGCATGAATCATGTGACCTCATGTGTCCACTCAAGACTCCGCTCCAGTGAAGTGACAAAGACATGAAAACATCAGGACTATGTTGATTGATTATAACCTTGATAACATTAATAATACATAAAATTGTCAGTGCATTGTATTCTTAATATACAGATATTGGTAGTGGATTGAAAACCCCTTAATAAAGATAAGGCAATCTGCAAATGTTTTACTCAGTGAGTTTGGAGATAACACAACTGATCTGTTTATACACCTTTAAGTGCCGGACAAGAGTGATGATGCCTGCTGTGAATCTAATGTTAGAGTAAGCGCTCTACAGATACTGTAAAATATCCAGTGTAATTGATAACACAGTTTTTAA